GTACCCCTAGGAAAGTATAAATATATAAAAAGCTTTAAGCACACAGGAACTGGACCCAACTAAATAGCCAAAATTAGGGAAATGCTCTACAGAATCTGAAACATTAAAAATGTTCCTGAAGCATCTGTAATAACAAACATTTTTCCACATTAAGTAAAATTTTTTAAATATATAAAGTCTAACATATGGTAGGATCTCAACAAGGAATGAGAAAGGAAAAAGAAGAAAAAATGTAAGGAATAGCTGTCTTTAAAGAGACTCTGGATGATCTTTTTCCTATTTGATTTAAAAAAAAATAACAGCTTGACTGAGACAATCTTTTTATTTGACTTTTTTAGTTTCTAAAATTTTTGTAATAAGCATGTAAATATTTTTATGATAATAAAAGCTTTAGAAAATAACTTCCAATATGAAATTGGCAGAGAAGCCTAGTGAAAAATCCAACTGGAAGCAACCTAAGATCTACTGAGCAGTTATTATGGGTCAAGAATTGCATTAACTGTTTTATAACATTCTATCGCATTTAATCCTCAGTATAACACACTAACAGGTAATACTATAACGCAGAGAGAACCCGAGGAACTTCATACAGCCAACAAGAAGCAGGATCCAGATCTAAACTAAACAGTCTGATCTCAGGGCACCTGTGCTCATCCTCTAGCTACATGATCTCCCAGGTTACTTTTGGGTTCTGTGTTAGCATCTAATCTATTATTTCCAGACAATTATATTTGTATTTTATCTACTTATTTTTTATGTTGGTTGGTAGATTTTTTTGCAGCAGCTTATTGAAAAATAATTCACAATACCATACAACTTACTCGTTTAAAGTGTACAACTTTTGCTTCTGAATGGTTATTGAACAGAGTTGTACAACCATCACCACAATTGATCTTAGAATCACACCAAAAATAAGTCCCTCACCCATTAGCAGTCACTCTCTATTTCCCCCCAACTTTCCCAGCTCCAGGCAACCACCAATCTACAACCTGTCTCTATGGGTTTGCTTATTCTGGACATTTCATGTAAGTGAAAGCATATAATATGTGTTCTTTTGTGTCTGGCTTCTTTCATTTAGCATAATGCTTTCAAAGTTCACCCATATGGTAGCATGTACCAGTACTCCATTTCTTTTTATGACTGAATAATATTCCATTGTATGGATATACTGCATTTTATTTTATTTTATTTTATTATTATTATTATTTTTTGCGGTACACGGGCCTCTCACTGTTGTGGCCTCTCCCGTTGCGGAGCACAGGCTCCGGACGCGCAGGCTCAGGGGCCAGGGCTTACGGGCCCAGCCGCTCCGCCGCACGTGGAATCTTCCCGGACCAGGGCACGAACCCGTGTCCCCTGCATCAGCAGGCGGACTCTCAACCACTGCGCCACCAGGGAAGCCCTACTGTATTTTATTTATCCATTCATTGGTTGATGGACATTTGGGTTGTTTCCAAATTTTGGCTACTGTGAGACACGCTGCTATGAACATTTGTGTCCAAGTTTTTATGTAAACGTATGTTTTCAATTCTCTTGGGTACATACCTTGGAGAGCAAGTGCTGGGTTATACAGTAACTCTATGTTTATTTAGCCTTTTGAGGAACTGCCAGGATGTTTTCCAAAATGGCTGCACCATTTTACATTCCTATCAGCAATATATAAGGGCTCCAATTTCTCCACATCCTTACTAACACTTGTTATCTGTCTTTTTAGTTTTAGCTGTCCTAGTGGGTATGAAAGAGTATCTCACTGGAATGTGTATGCATTTCCTTATTGACAAATAATGCTAAGTTACCTTTTTCACATACTTATTGGCTATCTGTATATCTTCCCTGGAGAACTCTCTGTTTAGATCCTTTGCCCATTTTTAAATTGGGCTGTTTGTCTTTTCATTATTGAGTTGCAAGAGTTCTTTATATATTTTAGATACAAGTGCTTTATCAGATATATGATTTATATATATTTTTGCCTATTTTGTGGAATGTCTTTTCACTTTTTTGATGGTGTCCTTTGAAGCACAAAAGTTTTCAATTTTGATAAAGTCCAATTTATGTACTTTTTCTATTGTTACTCGTGCTTTTGGTGTCATATCTAACAAACCATTGCCTAATCCTATGTCACATTTATGCCTATGTTTTCATCTAAGAGCTTTTAGTTTTAGCTCTTATATTTAGGTCTTTGACCATTTTGAGTTACTTTTGTACATGATGTGAGGAAAGTAGATATATTTTTTAAATCATGTTTTAAAGGCTAGAATTGGCCTTATCTTTTACTCCTATGTCTCCATCATTCCCATCTCATCAACCATCAGCTAACAAAGTTTAAAAACTCAGACTCTGAAGTCAAAATGCCTATATTAGAATCCCAGTTCTGTCTCATATGACCTTGAACAAGATACTTGATCTCTCTGTGCCTTAATTCCTTGCCTGTAAATTGGGGATAATAACAATCGCCACCTCAAAGATGAGGATTAAATGCTAATAATACATACAAAAGCTGAGTAGAGTGCTTCCCATATTGTAAGCACTTAATAGACTTCAATTATTAATTATTAGTTTCTAAATATCACTCAGGTTTGTCCACTCTCTCCAGCTCCACAATTTCTACCTTACTTTAGTTCACCATCATTTCTTACGTGGATTATAAATCTATTCTCAAATGGTCTCCTACCTCTAATCTTGTCCTCTTGCAAATTCATTCTCTACTCTGAACCCATAATGATCATGACAAAATGTGTATCTGATCACCTATCAACCCCCTGAATTGTAGAAAATAGCTCTCTGGTGCCTCAAGGACAAAGTCCAAATTTCTTAACAACTGAGACATGAAGACTTTCAGATCTGGCTACTATTTACCTCTCTAGCCTAATCTCTTACTACCACCCCTACCTGAAGCCATGATTTCTTCCACGTCCAGAAAACTGGCTAAATTCTACTTATCCTTCAGGGACCACTTAGACACCATTTTCTCTAGAAGTCTTTCTAGATGGCTCATGGCCAGTCCAAGGATAAATATCCCTTCTATAGCACTCTGAACACTCCCTGATCAACACACTCAATACACTGTGTAAAAATTAACTGTTTACTTATATCTATTGGAGACTTGGTGGGGGGAAAGCCCCAATATTTCATTTATCACTGCATCCCCTAATGAGTACTACAGTACGAGTTATATGGCAACATTTAATAAATGTTACATGGATGGAGGAATAGCCTCAAAGCATACGTATCTCAAATTGGTACTTTCTCCACTAGAGAGAGAACCCACTAAACAAAGCCACACCCATGACTTACTGAATGATATTTTCATGTTCACAGTCTCAAAGTTTCAATTAAATATGAATACTACTACCATAGCTATCATGATGCACATGTGCCTGATCTCTGATTGGCTATTAACACTAAAGCAAGTCAAGTAGTCAAAATGTTTGTTGTGTCAAGTGTACAAAAGTCAAGCTACATGAATTTATTTTTCAAGTTACTATATTTTCTAGTCCTCACTTTCTCCACAGAGACATTTTAGAATTAGACAAAAATGAAGTTCATGCAAACTTCAATAATCTTTATGAAGCAAATTCAACTTGCAACGGAAAAAACGAAGAAAATTTTGGATAATGTTATTGCTTTAATTGCTAATTTTAATGCAAGTTTAAAAAAATCACTTCAGAAAGTTATAAACTGCTAAAACCCATCACTTAATTCAATAAAACTCAATCTTAACCTCTATTCTACTTGGAGTAAAAATATGGATTGGAAATAAGAATTGGACTTATCTCTTAGAAACACATCTAAATTATTTATGGATGAATTAAAGAGGAAGTGGAAGGTTGGCAAATTCACCTGTAAAACCATGTGGGTCTGTAGCCTTTGAGAGTGAGCGGAATAATTAGTATTCCAACTTTGACAATTATTAATCTATTCAAACTTTTCGTTTCTTGTTTTGTCAATTTTGCATTTTCTATTTCTCCAAATATAAATGCAGTTTGTCTAGGTTTTTAAATGTGTTAACGTATATTCATACGTTATAACTAAAAATGCCTTATATATGGAAAAAAGCTATCAGAAACTACAATCAAACTATAAATTTGTGGAATCAAATTTGACCAATGGGGCTTCCCTCGTGGCGCAGTGGTTGAGAGTCCGCCTGCCAATGCAGGGGGCATGGGTTCATGCCTCGGTCCAGGAAGATCCCACATGCCGTGGAGCGGCTGGGCCCGTGAGCCATGGCCGCTGAGCCTGTGCTCCGCAACGGGAGAGGCCACAACAGGGAGAGGCCTGCGGACCGAAAAAAAAAAAAAAAAAAAAAAAAAAAAAAAAAAAATTGACCCATGCATCAATATTCTAGGACACAATTAATTTGAAAAAAATATGTACCTCTACCCATACCTTCTCTTGAAAACAATCCACATACACTTGACAATCATCAGAAGCTATCAACCTGAAAGTGGAGCTGGCAAACTATTTCTTGCTCTCTCCTTGCTAAGGGACCTCATCTAATTTCAATTCAGTTTAAGAGAAATGCTCTGTGAGTGAGCCATCAGGAGTAGTTCATAGAGTTCAATTAAAGAATCAAAGCAGTTAAAGATTTTCCCTACTAAAAGACTTTATGCTCCAGGTATCATTATTATCCTCTATCTTCACATGAGGAAACTGAGACTTAGAACAGGTTACTTATCCAGGGTCTGATTCCACAGCCAATGATTATGTCTATTACTCTGCCTCCAATATATTAAACTGATAAAGACGAAAATATAGTAAACCAAAATACGTAACTAACTATAATTCCTAGAAGTCATATCACAGATCACTAAAGGAAAATATCATCTTGTCAACTTAATATTCTGTTTTTTTTTTTTAAATGAAGGCTGTGATTCAGTATTTAATCACTATTTCATATATAGTTTTAGACATTTTTATCCTGAACAGTTACCTATGAAATAATGTATCACCAGGAAAACAACAAATCCCTCGTCTGGATTTTATGGTATCTGTGCTCCTACCTGACACTGGTTAATAGCTGCATGGTTGCCATGGAATGGAGACTGTCTTTCTTTATCTCGATGATGCCGACTGCTGTGTTTACTTCTCTGCAACTGCTGGCGTAATTTTGCAATCTGAAAAAGGGAAAAATAACAAGTATGTCAGAGTGTTTTCCACATTACATAAAACATACCCATGCTTAATAAGAACCAGTAAAATTCAGCCTTAATAAAGCTCTTGAGTTTTTAAACCATCCCACAAAAATCTGATTTATTGTAAAAAAATTTATATATATCTATATATACACATATATATATATACACACACATCTGTATATGCATAAATGTATATCTTTCTTTCAAAGAAAAAATTATGTTCCAACACTATTCTGAGCCTTTAAGCTTCCCAAGTACTAAACAAATGAAATTTTTAGCATTTGGAATAAATTATATTATACATTATAGCTTTCACAAAGAATTCAAAAATAATGATAAGTATTCTCTCATTTTACTTACGAGTCACATTTTATTTAGAATTAGATTTCTTTAACAAACACCTAACCTTCAACAGCTCCAAAAAGTAAACAGTATTATTTAAAAACCAACTCAAGCTCCCCAGGCTCTGGGAGGTTCCCGGAGATGTGCTGTCCACTGAGCATAATTAAATTATGAATAAACATAATAAACATCAGCTCTGTTAAAAAAAATCAACTCAAGCCATGAAATGCATTCAGATACAATCTGTAAATAACAAATACAATTTCAATCAATATCCTATATTATTCTTTGACTGAATTTTTCTGTTTTATTGCTACATTATGTATAAAATGCAAATGTCCTAATTATAGGCACAAAAAATGTTCATCATAGCATAGGGCCATTATCAACTTGGTTATACTGGGTTACTGAAATTCAGAAATACTACCACTGTATACAGAAATAGTAAGTGTGAATTTGTTGTATCACTGCAATCTTATACATTTGATATTTATATTAACAGCTATGGACTCTCATTAAAAATAAAGAAAAACATATAATAAAGTAACTTATGCATACATTTCCCCACTCAAATCTTTATTCAACATAATAACTGTTTTTCTGTTATTTCTCAAGTAAACAAAACCACCAAAAAAAAAACAAAAAAAAAAAATTAAAAAACAATGGAAATTGACAAATCTTTGCTGCTCAAAACTTCAAGGAACTAGTCAACGAAGGGATCAAATTTCCACACCCACTTCCTTGGAACCATTTCTCTGACCTCCTTAAGTTGATCAGTGCTGCCCCACGACGCTGAACGCTTGTGAGACCCTTTCTTCTTTTCAGAGTACTCTTCAGCCCATGCAGTCTCTGTCTATAATGGGAAAAAGAAGGAAGAGGTTTTAATAAAATAATTAATCATTTAACAATAATGAATGCCACATTTGCGACAACACAGACGGACCTTGAGAGTATTATGCTAAATGAAGTCAGACAGAGAAAGACAAATACTATACGATCTCACATGTGGAATCTAAACAAACAAACAAACAAACAAACTCATAGAAAAAGAAATAAGATTTGTGGTTACCAGAGCTGGGGGTCAGCAGAGGAGGAATAGGATGAAGGTGGTCAAAAGGTACAAACTTCCATTGAAAGATAAATAAGTACTGGGGATGTAATGTACAACCCAATAGCTATAGTTAACACTTGCTGTATCGTACATCTGAAAGTAGCTAAGAGAGTAGATCCTAAAAGTTCTCATCACAAGAAAAAAAAAAGTTTTTTGGTAACTCTATGAGGTGATGGATGTTAAGTAAGCTTACTGTGGTGATCATTTTGCAATATATGTATGTCAAGTCATTATGCTGCATACCTTAAACTTATATAGTGCTATATATCAGTTATACCTCAATAAACCTGAGAACATTTTCCCTTTCTAAAAAAGAAGGTATACCATACTTTTCTATTACAAAATACATTCCTATTACAGAAAAATTAGATATTAGAAAATATTTTAAATAATACAAATTACCCATAATTTTTAGTATCAGTTACTTAATTGCAATATTTTAGCCTATTTCTTTCAATTCTCTAATAAAAATTAGTTGTTTTTTTTTTGTTTTTGCTGTACGCAGGCCTCTCACTGCTGTGGCCTCTCCCGTTGCGGAGCACAGGCTCCGGACGCGCAGGCTCAGCGGCCATGGCTCACGGGCCCAGCCGCTCCACCGCATGTGGGATCTTCCCGGACCAGGGCACGAACCCGTGTCCCCTGCATCAGCAGGCGGACTCTCAACCACTGCGCCACCAGGGAAGCCCAAAAAATTAGTTATTATTATATAATTATAAGCATAGCAGTTTTTGAACAAATGCATACTAATAATAGCTAACATTCCTGTGATCTTACTATGTGCTAGGCACTGTGCTTTATGAAAGGTCTTCGCTGTATTATCTGATTTAACACATACAAAAAGTTCTACAAGTTCTGCAGATAAAGAAGTTGTGACAATGAGAGGTTAGATAAGTTGCCTAAGGTCTCACAGCTGGGAAGTGGCAAAGCCAAAGAAATAAACCTAAGACTCCAGAGTTTATAATCTTAACCTCTAAATTTCGTCCTTTCTTGCTTTAAATATCTGCAGAGTACAGCCTCAAAAATGTTAAATTCTTAGTGGTTACACAAAATCCAGAACTTAAAAACATTGTATCAGAAAAAAAATATTATTCTTGGCATATGAAAATATGCTCAAACTCACCCCATAATAAGAGAAATGCAAGTTAAAACTTCACTGAGACTGGGCAATTTGATCACATATACCCTCCTCCATTGTTGGTGGAATGTAAAATTAGTACAGCCTTTATGGAAGGTGATTTTGCAACTGCTGTCAAAGTTACAAATGCACATACTGTTTGACACAACCACCCATATTTTGGTAATTTATACTGCAGATGTACAAATTTACACCTTTATGTACAAAATGACATATATTATTCCCTATAGCACTGTTTTTATACAAGATTAGAAAATGTAAATAGAGGATTGGCCAAATAAATTATGGCTTATCTTTACAACAGAATAATACACAGCTATAAAAATGGATAAGGAAATCTACACTGTACTAATACAAAATAATCTCCATGAGATACTGTTAAATGAAAAACTAAAGGCTCGGACTTCCCAGGTGGCACAGTGGTTAAGAATCCGTCTGCCAATACAGGGGACACGGGTTTGAGCCCTGGTCTGGAAAGATCCCACATGCTGTGGAGCAACTAAGCCCGTGTGCCACAACTACTAAGCCTGCGCTCTAGAGACCATGAGCCACAACTACTGAGCCCGCGTGCCACAACTACTGAAGCCCACGCACCTAGAGCCCGTGCTCTGCAACAGGAGACACCACCGCAATGAGAAGCCTGTGCACCCCAACCAAGAGTAGCCCCTGCTAGCTGCAACTAGAGAAAGCCTGCGCACAGCAACGAAGACCCAACACAGCAAAAAATACGTGTAAATGTAAATAAATAAAATTTTTAAATACTATTAAAAAAAAGAAAGAAAAACTCAAGGCTCGGTACAGTATGTATAGCAACTACCTTTATATATAGGAGTGCTAAAAAGAATATACACACGTGTAAAGTACATCTGGAAGAATATACATGGTAACAAAAGAATCTGATATCAGTGGCTGCCTCATGGGAAGAAGATACCTCTCAAATTTTATACTCTTATGAATGAATGTATAGCCTATTCAAAACAATACCTCTTTATATATAAGATGGAAAAAAACTTTTAAGGGGAAATTTTTCTATATGGATAGAATGGTGTCCTTAAGTGAAAACAAAGTTGCAGAAGAACATATACAATACGCTATCTTGTGTTTAAGGAAAAAAAAATCATCTTTCTGGGGGGCAACCTCCAGGGAAATAACTGATTTAGGCAAGGATCATCAATGGACATTAAAACCATTAAGTGAAAGGTACTAGGGAACACGATATTCACGTAATGCAAAAAAGTATTCTACAGTTACTTGCTAATTCAAAAAGAATAAAGTATCTCCTTTACAAATGTATAGTATAATTCATAAAATAACAATGTTTTTAAGACCAAAAGAAAGTATGAGATGAACTGTGCTAAATTAAAAGGAAGTGGGCTTCCTGGTGGCACGGTGGTTAAGAATCCGCCTGCCAATGCAGGGGACATGGGTTCCAGCCCTGGTCTGGGAAGATCCCTCATGCTGCGGAGCAACTAAGCCCGTGCTCCACAACTACTGAGCCTGCACTCTAGAGCCTATGAGCCACAACTACTGAGCCTGCGTGCCACAACTACTGAAGCCCACACGCCTAGAGCCCGTGCTCCACAACAAGAGAAGCCACCACAATGAGAAGCCCGCTCACCACAATGAAGAGTAGCCCCCACTCACTGCAACTAGAGAAAGCCCATGCACAGCAATGAAGACCCAATGCAGCTAAAAATAAATAAAATTAATTAATTAATTAAAAGGAACTAAGAGAAAGCAAGTACAATGCATGAATCTCAGACTGGATCCTGGTGAAAGGAAGGAAGGAAGGAAGGGATCTTGGGTAAACTTTAACATGAACTGGATTTGGGTGTTACATGATATTATGTAATTATTAATTTTCCTAGGTAAGCTAATGCTACTGTGATTATATAGGAAATATCCTTATTCTTAGAAGATATATGCTGAAAGATTTGGGGATAAAGTGTCATGACATCTGCAACACACTTTCAGAAAGCAGAGAAACACACACATAAAAATAACAGATCGGTAAAGCAAATATGGCTATGTTTAAAACTGTTGAATCTAAAGACAGCTGTCATACCCTTCCAATTTTTTGGTATGTTGAACATTTAATTAGTAAAAAGTTAAAACGGGGGAAAAAACCCAGAATCTTAAGTCATATCAATTGACGTTTTATAAAATCCACTTAGGACAATTCCATAAAGAAATAATTCTATCAAAAAGTATTAGACCTTTAATCCACTTTGAGTTTTTGTGTATGGAGTTAGAGAACATTACAATTTCATTATTTTACATGTAGCTGTCCAGTTTTCCCAGCACCACTTATTGAAGAGACTGTCTTCCCTCCATTGTATATTCTTGCCTCCTTTGTCATAGATTAGTTGACCATAGCTGCGTGGGTTTATCTCTGGACTTTCTATCCTGTTCCATTGATCTATATTTCTGTTTTTGTGCCAGTACCATACTGTCTTGATGACTGTAGCTTTGTAATATAGTCTGCAGTCAGGGAGGCTGATTCTTCCAGCTCCATTTTTCTTTCTCAATATTGCTTTGGCTATTTGGCATCTTTTGTGCTTCTATACAAATTGCAAAATTTTTTGTTCTAATTCTGTGAAAAAATGCTATTGGTAATTTGATACTGAATGCATTAAATCTGTAGATTACTTTGGGTAGTACAGTCATTTTGACAATATTGATTCTTCCAGTCCAAGAACATGGTACATCTCTCCACCCGCTTGTGTCATCTTTGATTTCTTTCATCAGTATCTTATAGTTTTCTGAGTACAGGTCTTTTGCCTCCTTAGGTAGGTTTATTCCTAGGTATTTTATTCTTTTTGATGTGATGGTAAATGGGATTGTTTCCTTAATTTCTCTTTCTGATCTTTCATTGTTAGTATATAGGAATGCAAGAGATTTCTGTGTATTAATTTTATATCCTGCAACTTTATCAAATTCATAGATGTAAGACCAGATACTATAAAACTCTTAGAGGAAAACAAAGGCAGAACACTCTCTGACATAAATCGCAGCAAGATCTTTTTTGATCCACCTCCTAATGTGAAAATAAAAACAAAAACGGGACCTAATGAAACTTCAAAGCTTTTGCACAGCAAAGGAAACCATAAACAAAACAAAAAGACAACCCACAGAATGGGAGAAAATTTGCAAATGAAGTGACTGACAAGGGATTTATCTCCAAAACATACAAACAGCAGCACAATATCCAAAAAAAAAAAAAAAAAAAAGAAACCCCATCTAAAAATGGGCAGAAGACCTAAATAGACATTTCTCCAAAGAAGACATACAGATGGCCAAGAGGCACATGAAAAGATGCTCAATGTCACTAATTATCAGAGAAATGCAAACCAAAACTATAATGAGGTATCACTTCACACCAGTCAGAATGGCCATCATCAAGAAATCTACAAACAGTAAATGCTGGAGAGGGTGTGGAGAAAAGGGAACCCTCCTACATTGTTGGTGGGAATGTAAATTGGTACAGCCACTATGGAGAACATAATGGAGGTTCCTTAAAAAACTAAAAATAGAGCTACCATATGATCCAGCAAAGCCAATCCTGGGCATATATCTGGAGAAAACCATAATTCAAAAAGATACATGTACCCCAGTGTTCACTGCAGCATACAAGCACTATTTACAATAGCCAGGATATGGAAGCAACCTAAATGTCCATCAATGGAGGAATGGACAAAGAAGATTTGATACATATGTGCAATGGAATATTACTCAGCCATAAAAAATGAATGAAATAATGCCATGTGCACCGACATAGATGGACCTAGAGATTGTCATACTGAGTGAAGTAAGTCAGAGAAAGACAAGTATCATATGATATCGCTTATACGTGGAATCTAAAAAAATGGTGCAAACGAACCTACTTACAAAACAGAAACAGTCACAGATGTAGAAAACAAACTTATGGTTACCAAGGGGCATGGGGGGGAGGGAAAAATTGGGAGATTGGGATTGACATATGCACACTACTATATATAAAACATAACTAATAAGAACCTACTATATAGCACAGGGAACTCTACTCAGTACTCTGTAATGACCTATATGGGAAGAGAATCTAAAAAAGAGTGGGTATATGTATATGTATAACTGAGTCACATTGCTGTACAGCAGAAACACAACATTAAAAATCAACTATACTCCAATAAAAATTAATTTAAAAAACATAAAAATGGTTAAAGAAAAAAGTATTAGACCAACAAATAAAGGCAGGAAGTATGACAATAGAGTTAGAAAATCATCATTTGGAGCTACTACAGTAATTGTTGATTCAAGCAAGAATCATCAACGAGTGCCAAAACCAATGCATGAAAGCTTGTTGGGGAACAGGATATTTACAGTCTCAAATATTTCCCCACAGACTATGTACATACAGTTACAAAGAGAATCTGGTGGGTCAAACTTAACATTACTGACATCGGGCACCTCTTGATGCACATGCACAGAGAGGAACACACAACACATATAGTACTCCTGCCAAAAATGTTATCACTGAATCTAACAGTTTAAAAAACAGATAAACCTAGGCTAAGAAGATTCAACAAAAATACTAGCTTGCATTCTTAAAAATATCAATGTCATGAAAGACAAAGAAAAGCTGAGAAACTGTTCCAGATTAAAGGATTCTAAAGAAACATGATATCTAAATGCCACCTGTGCTCCTTCACTGGGTCCTAGCTTACGGGAGAAACTGCTACAGATAACATCGTTGGGGAAACTGAAAAAAAATGTGTCTGTGTATCACACATTAAATAGTAGCATTGTATCAATGTTAAATCTCCTGAATTTGATAATTACTTTGGTAATAGTTTTTAAGTCTTTGTTCATATACATCCTGAAGTATTTGAGAAGAGTCAGAATTTCTGTAAATTATTAACAATTAGCAAATAATAACAACAGTAATAATAACAATTATGCAAAAACAAAATATGCAAAAATGTTTATTGGTAAACATAGGTGAGGAGTATAGGGTGTTCAATGTACTACTCTTGGGACTCTTCTATAAACTTGGGACTTTTTTCCCAAATAAAAAGTTTTTAAAAATTAGAGAAGTGACTAAAGATATTAATTTTAAGTACAAAAATTCAAGGAAAAGCAAAGGAATATAAAAGTCTCCTATAGATTTAAGAACAAATTAAAGATGAGAACAAGAATATTAGTTGGTAAGGTAAAAAGCATAAAGAGCAAAAGACAGCTTTGTTAATTTCAGTGATAAGATATTCAGGCAGGAAAAAATACTCGGCAAAATCATTAATTTTACTTAAACTCCTACTTCAAAAGATAATTGCTTTCTTTGTTCAACTAAGAAGCTGTGCCTTTATTATAAGACACTCAGGTATTAATAAAAAGTAAAATTGAGTTTTAATTAAGCATGTTTCAATTTTGTTCAATTTTACATTGTATACTGGAAAGCTATTATGCATCTTCTAATGTATCAGGCACTAGACTAGGTACTGGAGTTAGAGAGTTTTTATTCTGAAAGAGTTTTTTCTAGGACAGAAGGAATAAATAGCCAATTATGATATGTGATGACTGAGGTTCCCTAAGAAAGGCACCTAATCCAGACCCGGAAGGACAGGGAAAGTAGGTAGGCAAGGTTCTATAGGATCGGGGGAGGCTGCTATAAGCATCAGAGTGTAAGCTGTCCAGGCAAATGGTGGGAAAGCGTTCCAAACAAAAGAAAAAACAGGAACACCAGCCAAGTGGTAGCCAGAGCTAGGTCACAGCAACTGGTCCACAACTGTGGTCACAGTAACTCAAAAGACTTAACTGAACTGCTTCTACAGATCAAGGGGCTCCCAACGGCTTGTAAGAATGTATATTCTTACCGGTAAGACAAAATATCTCAACCCACTGAACCTGAAACTGCAGAACAAAGAAAGAGGGTTGCAGAAATGTTCAAGGAAATGCACCCATACTAATTTAAACACGACCTGTGGATTAAGCAGAAAGCAAGTAGAGACTGTATTCATTTCCTTTTTTAAAAAAAATTTTATATTGGAGCATAGCTAATTAACAATGTTGTGTTAGTTTTTAATTTTATATTGGAGCATAGCTGATTAACAATGTTGTGTACAGCAAAGTGATTCAGTTATACATATACATGTATCTAGTCTTTTTCAAATTCTACTGTATAGCACAGGGAATGCTGCTCAGTATTCTGTAATAACCAAAGTGGGAAAAGAATTTGTATTCATTTTCTATACAACGTGCCCTAATCTCAGCAAAGTTACAGATTTTGAATAAATGCAGAGTTCTACAGAACTCTTCGGTTTAAAAAGTCACAATTTCAGAAAAGATTCATTACTTTTAATGAGTACAGACTCTGCATTTTCATTTCCGTAGTTGCAACTGGAGTATAACCCTCAAGGTAATTTCGAATCCCAAGCATCTACCCTAACAATGGGGCTCAGTTTCAAGAGTATCAGAACAGAAAACAAACTAAGTCCACCAGGAACATCTGGAATTCTAGAAACCAGTATGTAAATCCAAAAAACACTGCAAAGTGTATATACTTGGTCTTGTAAAAGGATATTCTCTCACAAAGTGCTGAGATCAAGCAACCATCAGTGATGTAAATTTGAAGTCTAAATCAAGATGTACCTTAGCTGATTTTCAACAATCAGTATAAAGAATCTTTTAACTCTTTAAATGATTTTCTTTCTTCACTAGGCATAAAACTTTAACTGTTCTGCTCATTCAATCCTTTGCAAATATTCCTTGAGTGCTTATTCCATCAGGTACAGTACTAAGTCCTGAGAATGAAAATACAGAAATGAACAAGCCAGACACAGTTCCTGCCTTCATGGGAGCACCATCTAATGAATATGAGAAACATTAAATAAATGACTAGACAAATATTTAATTAATTATAATTGTACTAATTTGCTATGACAGAAACTACACCTAACTGAGACGTATCATCAACTGGCTCTATGATTTTGGACTTCAGTTTCCTCATCTGCAAAGACTAGGAGGTACATCAAATGATCTCTTAAGACTTTTTTAATTAAAACTTTTTATAAATTTAAAAGTACAAAACTTTGCTTCCAGAGTCCCTTTGTCGGGATATTTACATTTACAGACTCTACCAGCAATAGCATATAATCCCCATCTTGCAACACACGAAGAGTTTTGAGCACAAAAATATAAGGTTGGATGGAAACTAAAGTAATCTTTACCGTAACAGATTTTTAAGTCCAAATTCCGTATATTAAATATATTGTGATGTTCTGAACTGAATATAAAGAGTAAGTGGGAGGGGAATTCCCTGCCAGTCCAGTGGTTAGGACTCTGCACTTTCACTGTTAGGGCCCAGGTTTGATCCCCAGTTGGAGAACTAAGCCACAGGCAAAAAAAAAAAGTAAGTGGGAGAAAAGTATGTGCATATATTTTCTGTATGTATCGGAATTACTTTGGGTACTGTTTAAAATGCACATTCCCAAGCCTCAACCAAAACCTACTAGAGAATATCTGAAGGTCAAGCCTGGGGATCTGGACTCTTGATAAGCTTCCCAGATAATGCTAATACACACTAATATTTTACAAATTTGAGCACAGAGTAGAACAAATAATATTATGAGAAATGGTTTCAGAGTGAAACACTTCAAGATAAGAACTGTAATAACCCTACCTGTGTGGCCTTGTCCCGCATGCAAGGAGCAGCTTGCCCATGACCATCACGAGGCCAGTGCCCTGCAAGGTACGGCGCAGCAAGTGTATCCAGGGAAGAGGTACGGCGGATGATGCTAGAGGGGCTGGAGGAAGGCGGTCTTGCTTTGTCACCTAGAATTAAGACAAATACATTTATTTTTTAAATAGATTTGGGGCTTCCCTGGTGGTGCAGTGGTTGAGAGTCCGCCTGCCGATGCAGGGGACACAAGTTCGTGCCCCGGTCCGGGAAGATCCCACATGCTGCGGAGCGGCTGGGCCCATGAGCCATGGCCGCTGAGCCTGTGCATCCGGAGACTGTGCTCCTCAACGGGAGAGGCCACAACAGTGAGAGGCCCGCGTACGCAAAAAAAAAAGAGATAAAAATAGATTAGGAAGGAAACAAAGTAGAAACTATGTAGAGGTTCTCTAACTTAAATACAAAAAGTGAGTAATAAAAAGAATAAGCTCTTCATTCACACAAACTTCGATGAATCTCCAGAGAATTATACTGAGTAAAAATAGTAATCTCAAATGGTTACCTGCTGTATGACTTCATTTGTACAACATTTTTGAAATGAGGAACTTTTAGAAATGGAAGAAAGATCAGTGGTTGCCAGGGGTCCACTAATAGATAGGGGAGGGAAGGTGAAGTGGCAGGAGAGAAGTAGGTGTTATAAAAGGGCAACATGCAGGACCCTGGTGATAGGGAACTATTCAGTATCTTGACTGTGGTGGTGAATATACAAACATACAAAGGAGATTAAGCAGTATAGAATTCAACACACACACACACAAATAAGTACAAGTAAAACTGAAGAAATCTGAATAAGAGCAGTGGATTGTACAATGTGAAAATACTAGAGTTTTACAAAATGTTATCACTGGAGAAAGAAGGGCAAAGTGTACAAAAGGTCTCCGCACTATTTCTTACAACTACAATCATCTCTACAAAAAAAAAAAAAGAAGACAAATGTATATCTATCCATTTAAAAAATGTTCATCTTGGTTTTAAGATTAAGTAGGTATAATATGTAAAATACTCATTTATCATTATACCACCTATACTCAAAAGGATATAAGGCAGCTAAGATAAAGTTACAAGTGAAATTCCATTTTAATTAGCTCTGTAAGGCACATATCTTAATTTTTGTTACAATAAATAGACTGTAAGAAACCATACTAACCAGCCTATAGGAGCTATACTTAAAGCCACATATGCAAATATATTTTCCATTTCAAGCTACAGGATATGTATTTAGATATAAGCCAAAAATAAAAACTAAAAACAAAACAAACAAAAAAGAACTAGAGGTAATGGGAAGTTAGAGGTGATGTATAAAAGAGAGTCTCATATCTCCGTTTTTTTTTTTTTTTTGGAAGGGAGAAGGCAACAGGCTTAGGTAATTTATGCTTTAAAAATGAAAAAATTAAGGGACTTCTCTGGCGGTCCAGCGGTTAAGACTCTGTGCTTCCACTGCAGGGGGCATGGGTTCAATCCCTGGTTGGGGAACTAAGATCCACATGCCGTGCAGCACAGCCAAAATAATAATAATATAATAATAATAAATTTAAAAATTAAGGGGTTTAAAAATATCAAACAAATATATGCATGAGTAGGATTATATTATAATATTATCACTCTAGCTCTATATGGTAACAAATACCTTGTTCTTCTTAAGGTAATATATGAAAACACTTTATGACACCTCTCTTCTACTTATTTCTTAATAAGGGTCTTATATAGTTACAAGTATAAAAGTTCAGTTGCTGGTTATGTGACCCAAATAACAAAAGATTCAATTCCACCAAGATAATACTTTTAGCAGCTGTGTCGCTGATAATCATAAAAGTTGTTTCACAAGATGTGCCTCAGATACATAATTTGCTTTCAAAATGGCACAACTATTTCACTACAACAATGCCTAATTGTTTCAAATGCTAACCATCTCTGCATACAGTCTTCCTCTTATAGTTAAACACAAAATAAATACAGTACATACCCATAAGTTCAAGGAAGCATGTACCCACATTATTAACTGTGACAAGTGAAAAGCAATAAATATACATGTTCACTATTTTTCCTCTAACTAAAAAATTAATCTCTACTGGGATAGTCACAAGAAGATTGTTCTTGGGCACAAAGCACAAAAAAAAAAAAAAAAAAAGGCACACACACTATGTAAACTGGTGTATATTCATTAAAATCAAATTGTTAAAAGCTGTCTGATACTTTTCTTCCCTGACTATAACATTGCTTCAGCCACCCACCAGTGCACTGATCAAATAGATCTTACTAACTGGTCTGATTCCATTTTCAAGATTTTAAATTATCCAAGTGCCAACTTTTCAACCAGGCCTCCTAAGACCATTAGATTTTCTGTAACAAAATGGAGAACAGAAAAGTTATACATGGTCACGTGTAAAAATACTAAACATCTTCTCTTTTGAACTCCCTTCGTTTAGACATTTTTAAGGGTCTGTGAGCCAGCACTAAGCCCTAGAAATTAAAAATACTAAGTTACAGCCTGCCATAAAGAACACAGAGTCTACATCTAGCTTGTCATCATTCCATTTCAATCGAAGTTCCCAAAATTGACAAGATTTGGTGCCTAATTATGAGGGAGTTTAAGGGAAGGGAGGGAGCCTCAAAGAGTCAAAGATGACTCAAAGAATCCCAACCTACATGAACAAAGGCTGTATTTACAAGGAAGTCCAGAGGAAGAAACTCTTTGACAGCTAACAAGATCCTTCATGATCTGGCTTCTCCAGCCTTCCTTTCTTGCCTACACTGCCTCAAATCCCGATCACGCTGAACGACTTGCAGTTCCCAACATGTGCCAGACCCTGCATGCCTACAGGCTTTTGCCTCTGCCTACATAATCCTCATATCCCTTTCCTGGGTTTGGCTAATTCATGTTTAATCTTTCAAACTGCAGTCTGGATGTCTGAACTGAAATTGAAAATTCAGTACAAATGTTTCCTCTGGAAAATCTTCCTTGAACAGCCACTCAAACCCCCAAGAAACACATCAACACCTGGGTCAAAAGCCCTCCTGTGTGCTGCCATAGCACGGTTCACTGAAATGGTCTCTTGACTGTCCCAGTGCTCTAGGAGACAGTGAGATTTTGAAGGGCAGGAATTTTACTTCCACCCCCAATCGAATGATTAAAATAATACCTGACATATATGAAGAGAACGACTTCCAGTGTTTCTATCAGCAAGGGCAGGTGCATGCAATAAGTTCAGATACTCTTTTGTTAACCCAAAGTAAATCAACAAAAACTAATACTGCATGGTATCACTTATATGTAGAATCTTTTTTCAAAAATCAAACTCATAGAAACAGAGAGTAGGAAAAGTGATTGCCAGGGGTATGGGAAAAACAGGGAAAGGCTGATGAAAGGGTATAAAGTTTCAGCTATAAGATGAATAAATAAGGTCTGAGGTGTAAATGTATAACATGGTGACTACAGTTGATAACACTATATTGTGTAAGTGAAATCTGCTAAGAGAGCAGAACTTTAATGTTCTCTCATACAAACAAAAGAAGATAGATATGTGCGGTGACGGATGTGTTAATGAACTAGATGGGAGAAATCTTTTCACAGTGCTTACATATATTAAATCCTTATGAGGTACGCTTTATATATCTTACAATTTTATTTATCAATTATACCTAAACAAAGCTGAGAAAAAGTAAATCAGAACAACAGAAGTTGGGCTTCCCTGGTGGCGCAATGGTTGAGAGTCCGCCTGCCGATGCAGGGGACGCGGGTTTGTGCCCCGGTCCCGGAAGATCCCACATGCTGCGGAGCGGTTGGGCCCGTGAGCCACGGCCGCTGAGCCTGCGCGTCTGGAGCCTGTGCTCCGCAACGGGAGAGGCCACAACAGTGAGAGGCCCGCTTACCGCAAAAACAAACAAACAAACAAACAAAAACAACAGAAGTTCCAACTTGACTTTGTTCTTTAAAAATCAAGTCTTAAAAGAAGTTAGCTACAGCTGGGTGTGGTTATTAAAAATTTCAGTCAATGCCCTGGGCTCTAGAGTTCAGAACTCCCCAACCATCTGCACCAGTTCAGCTAGGTCCTGGGTAACTTCAATGGCAGTAGTAGAGCATCCCAAACCATGGCCCTTAGGTATTACATTACAAAGGGTCTACAGACCTTGTTAGATTTAGGTATTTGCAGAAATTGATCAGGTACTGGCTTAAAAGCTATATTTCTTGCTATCCACAAAGTCATTTAACAAGCAGAAGGGATAAACTAGACATATGCATTTGTTTGGAAAGGGGAAAAAAAATCTTTCCTTTTTCATGTATAAAAATGATAAATACTTAGTATAAAGAAAACTAACAGTATTTAAAAACACACACACACACAAAATCCCAATAGGTCACCACTCGAGAACCATTTTAATGAGTATTTATTTTCCAGAAATCTGTCTACACTTACACAGATGTACAATTTTATATAAATGAGGTCCCATTAGGCATGCTATTACTTATTGTTCAGAAAGAAAAAGGGCATGTCGAGGACCTATTGCCACTGTAATAAATATGAATCTACAATACATCACCATTTTTTAAAAATTTATTTATTTATTTTGGCTGTGTTGGGTCTTCGTTGCTGCGCACCAGCTTTCTCTAGTTGCGGCAAGTGGGGTCTACTCTTTGTTGCGTTGCGTGGGCTTTTCATTGGCGGTGGCTTCTCTTGTTGTGGACCACGGGCTCTAGGCGCACGGGCATCAGTAGCTGCGGCACGTGGGCTCAGTAGTTGTAGCTCACGGGCTCTAGAGCGCAGGCTCAGTACCTGTGGCGCATGGGCTTAGTTGCTCCGCAGCATGTGGGATCTTCCCGTACCAGGGCTCGAACTCGTGTCCCCTGCATTGGCAGGCGGATTCCCAACCACTGCACCACCAGGTAAGTCCCCACATCACCATTTTTAATAGCTGAATAGTATCCTATTGAATGGATACATCATAATCCCATATTGATGGACATTTTCAATGGCAGATATATATCCTTTTATGTTTACTTAACTATCTCAATTTTTTTCCCAAAAGGATGTAGTTTATTCACATTCTGCCAAAAACATTTCAGGAATAAAATAAGTGGGTAAAAAGAAGAGCCAAG